TGCTACTACTACTTCTACTACTACTGCTTCTTGGACGCCGACGGCTACGACTCTGTTGCTGCCGATTTTCACGGGGGTTTGGGTGTTGAGTTTCTTTGCATGACTGGGATAAAGGCCGGCTATTGAAGTTCTTCTTATCATTGCCGTTGTCGCTAACAAGGACACCCCGACGATGGGGTGTTCGTCAACATCGTGGTTGCAGTAGTTCCCTCTGAGGGAGTTGTCGCCTCGCCGCCCTGCTCAGGCACACGTGCAACTCCTGGATGCCCAAAGCCTTGCTCCGGAGGACAAGAGAGTCGGGGAGCTTAGTGTCACTGCGCTGTTTGGTTCTCAGGTTTGGCATGCTTTCACTGTACTCCGGCAACATGTCGTCATGAGACCTTTACCAATGATGCGCAGTCCCTAATTCTTCAGCTCAGGATGTGGAGAGGTGCATGGATGCTGCAGTATGTTGCAGTAGGGTGTTTTATGATCGCTGCAGGCAGGTTTCGTGTTTCTTGACATGACTTTGCCAAAATTGCCGGGGTTGATCAAGCGCACATGCATTGACGCCGAGCAGCGGCAGCTGCTGGGGTCATTTTTGTCGGAGCTTGGACTTCAAAACTATGCATGTGTGTGTATATAATATACAGAGACAAACAAGGAAATATACATATATATATATACACACATATATATATAGGTATATACACACACACACATAGATATTTGTATATGTGGGTAGGTAGAGGGGTATGTCTAACAAAACACGTCTACGTGTGTGTGTGTGTATGTACATCTGTGCAAGCAAATAAAGAAATATGAATAAATACATAAATAAATATAAGTATAGCTATAATTATATATATATATATAGAGCTATATATATATATATATATGTGAAGAAACACTCCACGTTGCAAACGTTCTGATGGTCACGAGGTGGCGTCGACAGGAAGCACAGTGGTCACTCTTACCATGGTGTGTTTCTCTCCCTCTAGTCTCAGGCTTGCTGTCGGCTTATGACCACTGTGCTGACTATGGCTAAGGTTCAGGAAGAGCTGCGGAAAGTCAAGATCGAGCTTCGCAATCTGGCTCGGTTGGAGATCTTGTGCATCGTTCCTCATGAGGTTCACATGCAGGTAGGCGCACATGATATGGCCCTTGTACATTGTACATGGTACTTGGCAGCGTATGTTCCATAACGCGACATGCCGGACGCCGCAACAATCAGGATCATCCATTTGGTGCTGCGTAGAACAAGCCCCAAAACTGTAAAAACCCCGACAGTCTAATCGCAACGTTTGAAGGAGAGGCCACGGCCCGAATGCAGCATCTGCCGCAGAAAGCTCGTGTGTCCCCCACGGAGAACTCAGAGGCCCGAAGCCTTAAATTCCAAAAGTTCGGGCCCCCTCAAACCAGGATTCTAAAGCCTCCCTTATAAACCCTAAACGCTGAATCCTAAGCCCTTAACCCCAAAACCCTAAATCCAAATGTTCAACATCACTTGACCCTACCTGGTCTCAGCTGATGTCCTAAAGCTGGGTGCAACAGCATCAACAAATCTAGACCATTAAAGCTTAAACACTGTATAAATCCCTCCCAGCCTCAATGATAAAGTCTTACACTCCTGGGTAGTATTAGGGAGATCCCTCAACGGGGACCCTTCTTAACCCTAGTTATGGCTCTCTTAAAGGGGACCTTCCAGTCTAAGCCCCCAAGACTAAACCCTAAACCCTGAGTGAGGAGGCTACTGCACTAAAAATACAACACCCTCAACCTTAAACCCTAAACCCTGAAGCCCTGAAGCCAATCTCCCTCCTCATGCTGATGTCCGGTTTAGCAAGGCAAGGAGGAGGAGATGCAAAGCCGCGCCAAGGCTTTGAGGGAGGATGTCGGGGCTTGGGATTTCGGGTTTCAGGGTTTAGTTTTTTAAGGCTTGGGCCTTTAGTGTTCCAGGGCTCGGGGGTTAGGATTTAGGGTTTAAGGGGGATCTTATTTATGAGGTTGTTATGGCCCATTTGTGGTCGAAGGCATGTTTTATAGCGGGTAGGTGCTCGGGTTTAGGGGTTCGGATTGTAGGTTTTGGGGGTTCGGGGTTACCGAAACCCGTGTATACCCATCCAGCACCGTTTGTTGTGTCAAGTTGTCGCAGGACTGACTCCCAAACCCTAAACCCTAAACCCTAAACCCCAAGCCCTAAACCCTAAACCCTAAACCCCTAAACCCCTAAACCCCTAGACCCCTAAACCACAGGCCAAGCTTCCTTCTCGGCGGCTATGTTTTTGGTCGTGGCTCAGCGATCCGAGATGATGTTTAGGCGACGTACCAGCAGTAGGCCAGCGTGTCTACCGTCTCAACGCGACAACCCCTAGACCCTCAACATGTCTCCAAACCCCTGAAGTTGCAGCCCCAAGCCCTAAACCCTAAACCCCTAAACCCCTAAACCCCTAAACCCCTAAACCCCCTAAACCCTACACCCTAAAGGTGTCATGGATGTTCATTGCGTTACCCTGGCAGGTTGTGGAAATCCGGGATGGCCTGAAAAGGCCTGGGTCTGGCTGAGATCTGAATCCTCTCTTTAGGGGTTTAGGGTTTAGGGTTCAGGGGTTTAGGGTTTTAGGGTTTTAGGGTTTAGGGGCTTTAGGGTTTTAGGGCTTTAAGGTTTTAGGGTTCAGGGTTTAGGGTTTAGGGTTTTAGGGTTTAGGGTTTAGGGTTTAGGGTTTAGGGTCTGAATCCCCTCCTGCACCTCAACCGTTTGAGTCCCCAGAAGCGTGATTCAGGTTTGTTGTTTCAGGGTTCAGGGTTTAAGGTTTAGGGTTTAGGGTTTAGGGAGGAGTTTTAGAGTTTCGGGATTCTTAGAATGGAGTCTTTAGTCTTGGCAGTATTGTTGCTATCCCAGAACTGCTTTCAATGAGCTCCTTTCTCCTGGGGTCGGCGGTGGAGTCTTATCGGCGAGGTTCCGGGCGATCAGCTAGAAACCTGAAGCTTACACCCGAAAGCCCCGAAGCCTTACATCGTACAGCCCTAAAACCCTGACACGCCCCAAACCCAATCCTAAGCACTAAGCTTACAACCTTCGTCAACCCAAGAAGGCAGCATCCAGGCGCATTGTCCGCTTGAAGCCTCGATTCAGGAACCAGTCAACGAACCGAAACACCGGTACTCTGGATGGGACCCTGCATAAATAGGGACCTCAGAAACACCTTGACGTAATTGTTTCTAGGCAAGCCTTACCTGAAGCTGTGCCACTGATCAAACATCGT